ACACACACACACACACACACACACACACACACACATGCACATATGTGGTAATGCTTTATTTACAGCTAGCAAAGTCAGGGTATTTCTCCAGAATGGTCTGTAATATACCACTGTGGATAAAATACTTAGCCATTTCTTGAACACTTCTGAGTGAGTTGTTTCTAAATTCATTAATTTTATCACACTCCAGTACTGCAGCCATGTATAAACGTAAGTAACCATTCTTACAGTATTCATTACCTTTGTAACTTGTGAGTTCATTACCTTTGTAACTTGTGAGTTCATTACCTTGTACCTAGTTCAGCCATCAAAACTTTGGAGCCCGGTCCCTGGACCCATTGTGTACCTCTGTAATCTGTAAATACCTTTGTAACTTGTCATGATTGTGACTAGACCTACCTGGAGTTCATTACCTTTGTAAATTGTGAGTTCATTACCTTTGTAAATTGTGAATTCATTACCTCTGTAACTTGCTCAGCTATCAAAACTTTGAGGCCCAGTCCCTGGACCCATTATGTACCTCTGTAATCTTTTGACTACCGCCCACAGGATGGGTATGGGGTGCATAATAAACATATTAAACTAACTAAACTAACTCACCCGAGCCCAGTCACGCTAGCCAATACTGTAAATACCGAATTACAGAAAATATCTACCTGGATGAGGACTAACAAACTTACACTAAACATTGACAAAACCTACTTCATTCAGTTTGGTAACAGAGCTACAGATGTCCCTCTTAGCATAACGATAAACGGATCACCTATCACAAAGCTAACAGAGGGAAAATTCTTAGGAATCCACCTTGATAATAGACTCAAATTTCATACACATATACAACAAATTTCTAAGAAAATTTCCAAGACTGTAGGCATACTATCGAAGATACGGTAATATGCTCCACAGTCAGCCCTCCTGGCCCTTTATCACTCTCTTATTTACCCCTATCTCACATATGGAATTTGTGCATGGGGCTCAACAACAATTAACCATCTCAGACCACTAATTACCCAACAAAAGGCTGCAGTTAGAATGATAACAAATTCTCACTACAGGCAGCACACTCCACCAATATTCAATACACTCAACCTACTCACCATACAAAACATCCATACTTATTATTGCACCTATTACATACATAGAACACTTAACTCTGATATTAACCCTCCCCTCAAACATCTCCTTGCCAACCTCAACAGAACACATGACCATAACACAAGGCACAGATCACTCTTTGATGTTCCTCGTGTCCATCTCACGCTATGCAAAAAACTCAATGCACATAAAAGGCCCTAAAATCTGGAATTCATTACCTGTAAATATAAAAGAAACACTACCTGTTTATAAATTCAAGTCTCTTCTCAAAGATCACTTACTCACCCAAAACCAAATAAATACTGAATAACTGAACCTTATAAATTGTATATCTTAAATGTTTCTCACAATTATATCACATAAATGTTAAACCTAGGACCCAATCTAACTTTGTTATTTTTTAAATACACTACCTAACAGAATATACTCCATTCTACTGAATGTACAGCAATGCATGCAACCATATGACCTGTCTTTGTAATACTCATTTGTGCTTTATAGTTATCTGTTTACAATAATGTTTTATCACTGATTTCATCATTGCTTAGTTAATCTTAAGTTAATTTTAAGCCTGCCCGTAATGCTATGCATATAAGTGGCTTTGGCATGCTGCTCTTACCTGTATTTTTTTGTACCTCTGTATGTATGCTAAAATTACTAAATAAATAAATAAATAAATGTATTCAGATAGTTAGGAGTGGATATGTCAGCAGATGGGTCTATGAAAGATGAGGTGAATCATAGAACTGATGAGGGGAAAATGGTGAGTGGTGCACTTAGAAGTCTGTGGAGACAAAGAAATTTGTCCATGGAAGCAAAGAAGGGAATGTATAAGAGTATATTTATGCCAGTGCACTTGTATAGGTGTGAAACATGGGTGGTGGATGTTGAAACAAGGAGAAGGCTGGAGACATTGGAGATGTCATGTCTGAGAGCAATGTGTGGTGTGAATATAATGCAGAGAATTCATAGTTTGGAAATTAGGAGAAGGTGCAGGATTACCAAAACTATTATCCAGAGGGCTGAGGAGGGGTTGCTGAGGTGGTTTGGACATGTAGAGAGAACAAAATAAAACAGAATGCCTTCGAGAGTGTATAAATCTGTAGCATAGGAAAGGTGGGGTAGTGGTCGGCCTAGGAAAGGCTGGAAGGAGAGAGGGGGTAAAGGAGGTTTTGTGGGCATGGGGCTTGGACTTCCAACAAGCATGTGTGAGCTTGTTAGATAGGAGTGAATGGGGCCATTGTTTTTAGGACTTGACGTGCTGTTGGAGTGTGAGCAAGGTAACATTTATGAAGGGATTCAGGGAAACCAGCATGCCAGACTAGAGTCCTGGAGATGGGAAGTACAGGCCTCCCTCAACATTCATGTTTTCAACTTTCGCGGACTTCACACATTCGCGAATTCCCAACCGCCAAATTCCCAGCCGCCAAATCATATTTAAGTTTACCTCCAGGAGTCCCTACTACCCTCCCTCCGACCCCAGCAACTGGCAGCCAGCCCTCCCACCACTGTGTGGTGAGTGTTTTGTTTGTTCATTATTTGCTATTAAACTACAGTATAAATAATGTAAACCCATCCATGACTGCATATTAGAATGGCTATTCGGACAGGTATTGGAAGGTGACATCATGTGTTTACTCTCGAGCACAGTGAAGAATCAAACATTTCTGCTACTGCTAATAATAATAATAATAATAATAATAATAATAATAATAATAATAATAATAATAATACAGTGGACCCCCGCATAACGATTACCTCCGAATGCGACCAATTATGTAAGTGTATTTATGTAAGTGCGTTTGTACGTGTATGTTTGGGGGTCTGAAATGGACTAATCTACTTCACAATATTCCTTATGGGAATAAATTCGGTCAGTGAAAAAATATCGTTAACCGGGGGTCCACTGTAATAATATAATAATAATAATAATAATACAGTGTTTGCACTCTGAAGGAGGGGTGTTAATGTTGCAGTTTTATAACTGTACTGTAAGTGTGCCTCTGGCAAGAAAGTGATGGAGGGAATGATACAAGTTTTTCTTTTTTGGGCCACCCTGCCTTGGTGGGAGGTGGCCGATGTGTTAATAAAAAAAAATTATTAATACAGATCATACGTGTTCCATTCACAGTTGACAGAAATATAAACAAACGTGAAGATGCAGTATTAAATCATGAATAAATAATGAATTTCTTTTTCACAAAGATAAATCATCTGTCTCTCAGTACCTGCATCAATACTGTCTTATATGATACAAATCACCGTAGATGTTAAATGTATTACTAACACTAGACATCAAAAATGATGCAGGTGCTGACAGACAGATGATTTATATTGTAAACAGATGATGTAAACTTACAGTACTGGTAAATACAGCACAGTACTGTAAATGTATTTTCTCTTTCTTATGATTTTCTTAATAACATTTTCTTTTCTCTAGCTTACTTTATAATAATACAGCATATACAGCATATACAGCAAATACCACCTGGTGGTTCACACTTACACTCACTCACCCATTTGACCATAAACAGAAATATCACTCTCAATCTTAAAATAATGAATCCTAACTAGTCATAAGTTGGCCTGTGATACTCCAATACTGAAGCTATGTATTGTGCCAAAATAAAAGCATTCACATTGCTAAACTCACAAACTAGTATTTAGTCACTTAGCCATAATACCAACTTACCTCATAATTTGTAATATTTTAAATTTAAGAATTAATCTAAGTCTGCCCGAAATGCCTAGCCATGCTAGGTGTTCTACTGGTACCCTCTGTAGTTATTATTTTACTATATGTAAACCACACAATAACCAAATTCTGTAAACTCAGCATTGTAATCATTATAGAGAATAAACTTTGAATTGAATATAATACATATAATATACAAATATGTGTTAATCGACTGTTTACGTTATCAGTAATGCTTCTGGTTAGCGGTATGCTATTAGTAGTTAGGTTTTTGAGGAGTCCAAAGTTATATGAGGATTTTCGATTACACGGGAAGGTTGGTGCCCCTAACCCCCACATCATTCAAGGGTCAACTGTATTTAGTTTTTATGGCTCTCTAACAGTAGACTCAAACACCAACCTAAAAGCAAGGTTAAAATAAAAGGAAATAAGTTATAGTGAGGTACAGCAAAAGGGTCAGAGGAAGCTGTTCTGGATACAGGCAGCTGAGTTTGGGTGAAACATAAAAAAATAAGATAATAAATAATATTTGTAGATAAGATGTTAGATAATAGTCCACAGATGTTGCACAAATGAAAGAAAAAAAATTGTCCATGGAAGAATTATAGCTATGGGTGGAGCATTTATTATTAGACAAAGATGGCAAGTTATCAAGAAAAAAACTTTAAATAAAAAAAACTTTAAATATTAAAAATCCCTAAAAATCATACAAAACATTTACATCCCATGGGATTTTACAGCATCTTAAAAGAATCAGCACTCAGACACTAAAATGAAACTACACAAATATAATGACAATTTTTTTTAGACTACTATCCTACAATAAACAGGCACACAACTCAGTCATTTGCCTTCGCACTTAAAATCAAGCACAATTTTTTTACCTAGAAAGCAAAAAGAGAAAAAACTCCAAAGTACAATTCTTATTTTACAATAATTAGAAATACTGTTCATGTCAGGAGAAAGAAACATTCATGGCATGTTAAATCCTTTGCAAAACTTTTTCTATTCTTATTCTTAGTGCCCTGTATACATTTTCTGGTGCTACTTTAGCATGCGGTCTACCAGCACATTTACACTAACCTAACCTAGGTTAGGCTAGCTAAAGTAGCACCCATTTTCTTTAAGCCATATGCAAATTCTAGAATTATCATATATTTAGTGAGTTTTAACTACTGTAATATCAAATGTATGACTTTGCATAACATACCTGATGCAAGTTCCTCCATTACTGCAGGGATTGGAAGAGATAGCAGTGCAGGGATCAATCTCATAGCAGTTAGGGCCATAAAATCCTCGTAGACAGTCACATGTGTATGACCCATCAGAAGCATTCTGACACTTGCCTAATATAAATAAATAGATAATAATTGAGGACTGCTCCTTGGCAGATTTCAGTGACTAATTATATTTTAAGGTGTACAACACTAAGTCAGTTTTTCACTCGAGATACTGTCTTGTGCAAACGTTAAGAATTGTCATCACACCTAATGAAACCCACACAAAGAGGGCCCGGGTTCAATTCCCGGCAGGGTGGAAACATTTCCTTAAACCTGTTGTCCTCTTCACCTAGCAACAAATAGGCACATGGGTGTTAGTCAACTGGTGTGGGTCACATCCTGGGGTACAAGATTGGGGACCCCAATGGAAATGAGACAGTCCCTCAATGATGCACTGCCTTTCTTGGGTTATCCTGGGTGGCTAACCCTCCAGGGTTAAAAATCCAAACTAAATCTTATCTTATCATATTTGTACGCTCGTGTGCATATGTCTGTGCGTGCGCCCACATGTGTGTATGTGTGTGCGCGCGTGCTAGTGTGGGTGTATGACCCACTTAATATTTGTATTTATAACTCATTACAATTGTGACCAGGTGTGGACGTATCAGTGGCTCATTACTTTGTACAGTGGAGCCTCAAAAATCGAACTTAATCCATTCTAGGAGCTAGTTCTAAATTCGAAAAGTCTGAAATTCAAAGCAATATTTCCCATAAGAAATAATGGAAATACAATTAATCCGTTCCTGAAACCCAAAAATATTCACACAAAAAATACATTTTATAGAGATTAATTACAGTTTTACATACAACATACTATAGTTTTTAATTATGTATAGTAATACATATAAAATAACATTTTTACTTACCTTTATTGAAGACTGGTGATGGCATCTGGAAGATAGGGAGAAGGAGAGAGGGAGTTGGGGTTAGTGTTTGGAAGGAGAATCCCCCTCCATGAGGACTTCAGGTAAAGCCCTCTCTGGGGTTACTTCCCTTCTCTGTCTTTTAATGCCACTAGGACCAGCTTGAGAGTCACTGGACCCGTCTCACAAAATAACTGTCCACAGTCCTCTGTTTCTGGCGCCTCTTTAACATTTCCCTAAAATGGGACATGGTTCTGTCACTGAACTTGTTGCAAAGATGGCTTGTTTCAGCTTGCTCAGAGTGGTACTTCTGCACAAACACTTGGACATCATTCCACTTGCCACAAATCTCCTTAATCTTTGAAGAAGGCACCTCATCCACTCCCTATATTAACACCTTTCGCAACATCAGCTTCCTTGATTTATTCTTTCTTTGACAGGATAGAACCGATGGTCGACTTGTTTTTCCCATACATCCTGGCAATCTCAACAAGTCTCGCACCACTCTCATACTTCTGTATTATTTCCTTCTTCACATCTATGGTGTTTCTCACTTTCTTTACCACAGGGGTACCATTAGCAAGTTTCTTTGGGCCCATGGCAGCTTATTTCACAGTCCAACAAGCACTAAACACAACGAAATAATCGTAAAATGCGTGAATGAGAGCACAGGTTAGTGTTCACTCAAGCATAAACAAAGCTAGACTGCTCATGGCGCCTGTGTGGGGACGCGGGCGGCAGACAGGTCCCGTACCCGGCAGTCCGAAAATAGGGGCGTGTTCGATAATAGGGACACAGTTTGTCCGAAAAAATGGCCCTATTTTCGAAACGTTCGATATGTGATACGTTCGATTTTTGAGGTTCCACTGTAATTTGTTCATGACTGTAACCATGTATAGGAGTGAGGCTGATTCATTACCTTTGTAACTTGTCATGATTGTGACCAGATCTACCTGGAGTTCATTACCTTTGTAACTAGTTCAGCTATCATAACTTTGGGGTCCAGTCCCTGGACCCATTATGTACCTTTGTAATCTTTTGACTACCGCCCACAGGATGGGTATGGGGTGCATAATAAAGATATTAAACTAACTTATCTTATGTTATCTTATCACCTAACCCAAACTGAAATAGCATAGTATAATTTAGTCTTACTCTGCTGTGGTCTTGCCTATGCTGTTACCAGGCAACAATACTAAGCGGTGACTGGATCTGATGTGTCAAAAACATATTATTTTCGCTCATGTATTGCAAAACAACAATCAGCCCAAGGATTACCTCTTTATTCTGTGGTGTAGGTATTGTAAAATATTAAATGTCTGATTTCCACTGAGGAGCAGCCTTCAATTATAATCTGTGTGCTCAAATTGGAAATAAATAAATAAATAAAAAAATATGTACAGACTGAGCAGCTTTTTTTGTGGTGTAGACGATGAAGTAAATTATTATTCTGAAATTATTTCTTTACAAGGGTAAAAGGCAAAGGGTGGCCTGATGCTGGTGAAAGGCTCTTGATCCATGGAATTATTCCCACCCCTCCCATTCCCCCAGGTACAGTATGATTCTTACAGGTTCAGTGTTTTTGAGAGGAGGAGGATTAGAAGAAATAGGAGGAGGAGGAGGTGACCCATTACAAGCCTGTCATCTTTCTGGACCAGCTCTCACAGGATGGTTGTGAAGTGCATAATAAAACTACTGTATTAAATTAACTACAAAGGTACTGAATGAGCTTACCAAAGTGCTTGCAGGGGTTGACGGGAACACACGGATTGTGGTACTGACAGTTTTGTCCGTAATATCCTGGGTGACAGACACAGGAGTACCCAGGGGCATACTTCTGTAGGGTACAATTGCTCTTTCCACACACACCCTCTGCACAGTCTAAAGCAAAAAAGAAAAATGATAATATGTATTTCTGCATGTTGCAGAAATAATGTAGTTTACATGAAATACGTAATACAACAATGCCTCCATTATTACTGAAAATTATTTCCATTCTGGCAATATTAAAACACAGAGGGCTGAAGAAGGGTTGTTGAGGTGGTTTGGTTATTTAGAGAGGTTAGAGTAAAATAGGATAACCTGGGGGGTATATAAATCTGGTGGGGTAGGGGTCGTCATAGAAAAGGACTTTTTTGTGTGTGTGTGTGTACTCACCTAATTGTACTCACCTAATTGTGGTTGCAGGGGTCGAGACTCAGCTCCTGGCCCCGCCTCTTCACTGATCGCTACTAGGTCCTCTCCCTCTCTGCTTCCTGAGCTTTGTCATACCTCTTCTTAAAACTATGTATGGTTCCTGCCTCCACTACTTCACTAGCTAGGCTATTCCACTTCCTGACGACTCTATGACTGAAGAAATACTTCCTAACGTCCCTGTGACTCGTCTGAGTCTTCAGCTTCCAGTTGTGACCCCTTGTCCCTGTGTTCCCTCTCTGGAACATCCTATCTCTGTCCACCTTGTCTATTCCCCGCAGTATCTTGTATGTCGTTATCATGTCTCCCCTGACCCTTCTGTCCTCCAGTGTCGTCAGTCCGATTTCCCTCAACCTTTCCTCGTATGACATTCCCCTGAGCTCTGGGACTAGCCTTGTTGCAAACCTTTGTACTTTCTCTAACTTCTTGATGTGCTTGACCAGGTGTGGGTTCCAGACTGGTGCTGCATACTCCAGTATGGGCCTAACATACACAGTGTACAGTGTCTTGAACGATTCTTTATTAAGGTATCGGAACGCTATTCTCAGGTTCGCCAGGCGCCCATATTCTGCAGCAGTTATTTGGTTGATGTGTGCCTCCGGTGACGTGCTCGGTGTTATGGTCACCTCGAGGTCTTTCTCCCTGAGTGAGGTCTGTAGTCTTTGTCCACCTAGCCTATACTCTGTCTGCGGTCTTCTTTGCCCCTCCCCAATCTTCATGACTTTGCATTTGGCAGGGTTGAATTCGAGAAGCCAGTTTCTGGACCACATGTCCAGCCTGTCCAGGTCTCTTTGCAGTCCTGCCTCATCCTCATCCGATTTAATTCTTCTCATCAACTTCACATCATCTGCGAATAGGGACACTTCAGAGTCTATTCCTTCCATCATGTCGTTCGCATATATCAAAAATAGCACTGGTCCTAGAGCTGACCCCTGTGGGACCCCGCTCATCACAGGCGCCCACTGTGATACCTCTTCACGTACCATGACTCGTTGTTGCCTCCCTGTCAGGTATTCCCTGATCCATTGCAGTGCCCTCCCTGTTATATGCGCCTGATCCTCCAGCTTCTGCACTAATCTCTTGTGGAGAATTGTGTCAAAGGCCTTCCTGCAGTCTAGGAAAATGCAATCAACCCACCCCTCTCTCTCGTGTCTTACTTCTGTTACCTTGTCATAAAACTCCAGAAGGTTTGTGACACAGGATTTGCCTTCCATGAACCCATGCTGGTTTTCATTTCTAATCTTGTTCCGTTCCAGGTGTTCCACCACTCTCCTCCTGATAATCTTCTCCATGACTTTGCACACAATACATGTCAGAGACACAGGTCTGTAGTTTAGTGCCTCATTTCTGTTTCCTTTCTTAAATATGGGGACTACATTTGCTGTCTTCCATTTCTCAGGTAGTTGCCCAGTTTCAAGGGATGTATTGAAGATTGTGGTTAGGGGCACGCACAGCATCTCTGCTCCTTCTCTAAGGACCCATGGGGAGATGTGTGTGTGTGTGTGTGTGTATGTGTGTGTGTGTGTGTGTGTGTGTGTGTGTGTGTGTGTGTGTGTGTGTGTGTGTGTGTGTGTGTGTGTGTGTGTGTGTGTGTGTGTGTGTACTCACCTAGTTGTGGTTGCAGGGATCGATTCATAGCTCCTGGCCCTGCCTCTTCACTGGCTGCTACTGTGTTAGTTACCATTTTCTCATAGGCACATATCAATAAGACAATAGGCCTGTTGTATATGTGTGTGTGTGTGTGTGTGTGTGTGTGTGTGTGTGTGTGTGTGTGTGTGTACTCACCTAACTGTAGTTGCAGGGTCAAGACTCAGCTCCTGGCCCTGCCTCTTCACTAAATGCTACTAGGTCCTCTCACTCCCGGCTCCATGAGCTTTATCATACCTTGTCTTAAAGCTATGTATGGTTCCTGCCTCCACTACATCACTCGCCAGACTGTTCCACTTCCTGAAAACTCTATGACTGAAGAAATACTTCCTAACATCCCTGTGATTCGTCTGAGTCTTCACCTTCCAAGAGTGACCCCTTGTTTCTGTGTCCCCTCTCTGGAACATCCTGTCTCTGTCCACTTTGCCTATTCCACGCAGTATTAAGTATGTCATTATCATGTCTCCCATAACCCTCCTGTCTTCCAATGTCGTCAGGCCGATTTCCCTTAACCTTTCTTCACAGGACATTCCCCTTAGCTCTGGAACTAACTCTGTTGCAAACCTTTGCACTTTCTCTAATTTCTTATCGTGCTTGACCCAGTGTGCGTTCCAAACTGGTGCTGCATACTCCAGTATGGGCTTGATGTACACAGTGTACAGCGCCTTGAAAGATTCCTTACTTAGGTATCAGAACGCTAATCTCAGGTTTGCCAGGCGCCCATATGCTGCAGCAGTTGTCTAGTTGATGTGTGCTTTATTTATTTATTTATTTATTTATTTATTTATTTAGAAATTTAGCATACATACAGAGGTACAAAAAAATACATGTAAGAGCAGCATGCCAAAGCTTTCGGAGACATACTCGGTGTTATACTCATCCCAAGATCTTTCTCCTTGAGCAAGGTTTGCAGTCTTTGGCCACCTAGCCTATACTCTGTCTGCAGTCTTCTCTGCCCTTCTCTTATCTTCATGACTTTGCATTTGGCAGGGTTAAATTCGAGAAGCCAGTTGCTGGACCAGGTGTCCAGCCTGTCCATGTCACTTTGAAATCCTGCCTGATCCTCATCTGATTTAATTCTCCTCATTAACTTCACATCATCTGCGAACAGGGACACCTCTGAGTCTATCCCTTCCAACATGTCATTCACATATAGTACCAAAAATAGCTCTGGTCGTAGGACCAACCCCTGTGGGACCCCGCTTGTCACAGGTGCCCACTGTGATACCTCGTCACGTACCATTACTCACTGTTACCTCCCTGTCAGGTATTCTCTTATCCATTGCAGTCCCCTTCCCGTTATACGTGCCTGATTCTCTAGTTTCTCCATTAATCTCTTGTGCGCAACTGTGTCGAAGGCCTTCTTGCAGTCCAAGAAAATGCAATCAACCCACCCCTCCCTCTCGTGTCTTACTTCTGCTACTTTATTATAAAACTGTGTGTGTGCATGTATGTGTGTGTGTGTGTGTGTGTGTGTGTGTGTGTGTGTGTGTGTGTGTGTGTGTGTGTGTGTGTGTGTGTGTGTGTGTGTGTGTGTGTGTGTGTGCTCACCTAGTTGACGTTGCAGGGGTTGAGTCCGAGCTGCTGGCCCCGCCTCTTCACTGGTTGCTACTAGGTCACTCTCCCTGAACCTTGAGCTTTGTCATACCTCTGCTTAAAGCTATGTATGGATCCTGCCTCCACTACATCGCTTCCCAAACTACGTATTCCACTTCCTGACTACTCTGTGGCTGAAGAAATACTTCCTAACATCCCTGTGATTTATCTGTGTCTTCAAGTTCCAACTGTGTCCCCTTGTTGCTGTGTCCCATCTCTGAAACATTCTGTCTCTATCCACCTTGTCAATTCCTCTCAGTATTTTATATGTCATTATCATGTCCCCCCTATCTCTATCTCTCCTGTCCTCCAGTGTCGTCAGGTCGACTTCCCTTAACCTCTCCTTGTAGGACATACCTCTCAGTTCCGGGACTAGTCTTGTTGCAACCCTTTGCACTTTCTCTAGTCTCTTTACATGCTTGGCTAGATGTGGGTTCCAAACTGGTGCCACATACTCCAATATGGGCCTAAAATACACAGTGTACAGGGTCCTGAACAATTCCTTACTAAGATGGCGGAATGCTGTTCTTAGGTTTGCTAGGCGCCCATATGCTGCAGCAGTTATTTGGTTGATATGTGCCTCAGATATGCCTCGTGGTATACTCACCCCAAGATCTATATCCTTGAGTGAGGTTTGTTAGTCTCTGACCCCCTAAGAGATAGATAAGATAAGATAAGATAAGATTTCGTTCGGATTTTTAACCCCGGAGGGTTAGCCACCCAGGATAACCCAAGAAAGTCAGTGCGTCATCGAGGACTGTCTAACTTATTTCCATTGGGGTCCTTAATCTTGTCCCCCAGGATGCGACCCACACCAGTCGACTAACACCCAGGTACCTATTTGCTGCTAGGTGAACAGGACAACAGGTGTAAGGAAACGTGTCGAAATGTTTCCACCCACCGGGAATCGAACCCGGGCCCTCCGTGTGTGAAGCGGGAGCTTTAGCCACCAGGCCACCGGGCCGAACCACCAGGCCACCAGGCCTAGACTGTACTCTGTCTGCGGTCTTCTTTGCCCTTCCCCAATCTTCATTACTTTGCACTTGGTGGGGTTGAACTCCAGGAGAAAATTGCTGGACCAGGCCTGCAGCCTGTCCAGATCCCTTTGTAGTTCTGCCTGGTCCTCGTCCGATTGAATCCTTCTCAACAAGTTCACATCATCTGCAAACAGGGACACTTTGGAGACTACTCCTTCCGCCATGTCATTCACGAATACTAGAAACAGCACTGGTCCTAGGACCCCTGTGGAACCCCACTCATCACAGGCACCCACTTTGACACCTCGTCTCGTACCATGACTTGCTGCTGTCTTCCTGACAGGTATTCCCTGATCCATTGTAGTGCCTTCCCTGTTATCCCTGCCTGATCCTCCAGTTTTTGCACTAATCTCTTGTGTAAAACTGTGTTAAACACCTTCTTACAGTCCAAGAAAATGCAATCTACCC